TGTTTTAAGCTTTAAAATTCAATATGTTTACTTATAAAATTAGGAAAAATGTTCCAATTGCACCTAAGGGCTTAAAAAACAATTTAGAATATTTTCATAAATTTTATTAATTTTGTGACTTTTATTAATTTTTCATTATTTAAATATTTAAAATATGCTTAAAAATAAAATTTTTACTTCAATTATAATTATATTTTTAAAAAATTCCTCTGATCACAGAGAGCTCCGAAAACCTATTTTCATAAATTTTTTGAGTTGAATTTTAATTATTATGATTATTTTGAGTGTTGAAAATATCATTTAACTTAGAAAATCAAATTATGTTATCAAATGAACTCCAAATACTTTGAAATTTTTATGGGGAGTCCTCTGAACTTTAAATTATAGCGAAGAATTAAAAGCAAGTCATTTAGATATTTATTTTTCCCAATATAATTTCTTTTTTGTTTTAGGGTTTTGTGAAAATTAGGTGTGTTCTTAATGACTTGACTCATGACAAAATTTTCTTAGGGTTCTCTGGTCACACTGAACCTACCAAAATTTTCTTGGATTGTTCGAAACAACATGCTAATTATTATAATAAATTTTCTAAATCAAATGCATAAACTTGAAAAATATAGATCTTTGTCTAGGGGAATTTGGAAAAATCAGGGAATATCCCCCATGACAGAGACAACAACATGCCAAAATATCAAGTCATGGTGAAATTCTTGAATGCATGGAGAATCAAAATACTTAGAACAATATTTAATTAATTAAAATAAAAATATACATCAGATAAACTCTAAACCATTTTCATATTGTTCTCCTCTGTTCATTGAGCACTATGATATTTTTATTTTATTTTTTTTATTTTTCTATACAAAGATATGATTTTTCAAAGTTATGATATGATTTTTCAAAGTTAATGATTTTTCAAAGTTATGGACATTTAAATAAAGAGAAAAATCTCTATTTTTCTATTTAAGTGATACGACGCCGCGTCGACCTACGACGGCTCCGAAGCTCCATGCGGCGTCCTTTAGTTCAGCGCTGCCTTCCACCTTAGTGCTGACTCGGCCCGCGGTTCATGTATGAAGGCGCTGTCCGGCTCGATCTCATCCGTCCATTTGATATACACTCAATCGAATGACTACTCGTCATCATCCCCGATAGCCAAAACCCATGACCATTAACATTAAAAGCTTAAGATCTCACTCATTTCTCAACCAAACTCGTTCGGGTTTTATCCTATAGACTCGTCTAAGTGAGACAAACAAATTCATATGATAAACATGCCATTAAATTGAATCAATGCAAGTGTAGAATGAAAATAAGCTCGGGACAGTGGGGAGGTTTATACCTTTGCTCTGAAAAAGGAAGCTTCAATCAGAGGTGCTCGGCACGTTCGTGGAGGTCCAAGGAGGCTAGAGATGAAGCCTCTTGCTGTGGTGAAATGCCTAGACCCAAATTCAATCAAGACCGAACCGATCAATCAAGACCGAATTTGGGTGTTGATCAAAGTCTAGGGTAGAGGCTCTTTGTGAGGGGGTTTTGATGAGGTTTTGTCTTCTTTCATTGTGGTGAAGGTGTGGGCAAGTTTAATTGAGATTTGGTGCAATGTGGAGGTGTGGCCAAACTTGTCCTGTTTCTGGCCAGAATCGAACTACAAAATTGAGCTCCGACAATAGGAATTAGGGCAAGGAAGTGGTTGGTTTACACGGAGGAGGTCCTAAAGAGGCTATGGGAGCAATTAGGCAAGCTTTTCTTGAGAAAATTTTAGCACCCTCTTTTTTGGCCATGGGAGTGAGGTTTAAATAAAACAACTTAGGGTGGTTGTCTTGGCCAATTCAGGGGTGCAAAATGATGCTTAGGTGGGGGGGGGGTTTGAAGTGCTAAAGCCAATCAGACCTAGACACATTGGGTGGGTGAAATTGAGTTTGAAACTTGGCTTGGGGCTCTCGGTTTTGGCTCCTCCAGTGACTATGGTGGTTGGCCATGGCATGGGAGGTGCTTGAGTGGCTCAGGAACCTCAGAGGAATCTGTCACAACAATTAATTTGGGCTGGTGATGGGTTTTGGCATTGGCTTAAGAAATTAAGGAAACAAATCCCTTGATTTAGGGGATCTTTGGCCATGGCTCATCTAGGGTGGGTTAATTGAGTCTAGCTTGGTCACTAGGATCCAAAAGTTGGCTGTAGAGGTCTTGCTTTGATCAATTTGACATGTCTAGGTCAATTTTGGCTTATGCACAGTATAACAATAGTTCTGTTTTGGGTCCAAATGGCTAAAAATTGGGTTTGGGTTAGGCTACCCATGACTTTGAACCCAATTGATTTATCAAAATTGCGTAGATAATTGTTATGAAGATTTTTAGTGAAGTATTGAAATGATTTTGACTTCAATTAGGGGTTCAATTTGAAGGTTTTGGGATTTTGGTCAATTTGGGCATGTTGGGGTAGACTTGGGTCTAGGTTGGGCTAAGGTTGGACTAAGTCCAAATTGATTGTTGAAAGTGATTTATAGAAACATCATGAAGAGTTTTCAACACAAATTGGGTGCCAATTTTGGGGTGAGGGCAATCAATTTGGAGGGCAATCAATTTGGTGGAATTAGGGCAATCAATTTGGTGGAATTTGGGGACATAGCTAATTTAGGGCAAATTTGGGGGATTTTTGGACTTGGGTTGAAATTGAATGAAATTGAACCTTCACCAAGGCTAATTGAAACTCAATTTTGATGATTAGGATTGATATGAAGAGTTTTCAACATAAATTGTGGCAAATTGAGTAGGTTATGAGGTCAATTTGGTGGGATTAAGTCATAGGGCCAAAATTGGGAGTTTGACTTAGATCAAAATTGGGTTTAAAGCATGGACCAATTAATCTTGGGTTTGGTTTAGATTAGTCATATGGAAGGTTAATTTGAGTTCAGGATTGAAATTGAGAGAAATTTGGGTCAAACTGATGGACATTTGAGGTGAATTTATGAAAGTTGGGCCTTTAAAGGCAATTTGGGGGTTTTGGTCAAAATGGTAAAATTGGCCAAATTGGGTTCAATTGAAGGGTCTAAATTGGTTTTGGATACATTTGGAGTGTTTTTGGAGGTTTTGGAAAAATTTGGGGTGCCAATGGTATTTTTGTAATTTTGGGAATTTGGGGGGGGGGGGATTTTGGTAAATTTGGCATTTTTTAATGGTTTTGGGTAATTTGGGTATTTTAAAAAGGTTTGAAATGATTTTTTTAATCAACTTGGATATTTTGGGTGAATTTGAGGAATTTGACCAAATTTAGGGTTTCAAGGGTATTTAAGTAATTTTGATGGATTTGGGGGCAAAATGTCAAGTTGGACATTTGGTAGAATTGGGGTACCAACCACCCTATATGAGCCATGGACCAATGGAATCCTCATTTGGGTCCTCTATGTATTGGTCTTAGCTAAAGGTTATGTATTGGTCTTAGCTAAACCTTAGCCTAGGGCTAGTAGGTTTAGATGACCATCTACATAAGTTTCTCAAAAGATCAAGGGATCAAAGTCATGAAATTTTGGGTTTAGGATTGTAAGTGATTGTGGGTGAGAGTGAGTGTAAGTGAGTAAGACAAACACCCAGGGTTAACCCTAAGGTCCAGTAGTCCTATGGGAAATCAACTTGGCCTCCCCCATAATGACCCCACCTACTAAATGTTAGAGGTTATGACCAATATGTGGAACTTCAAGTTGAGCAAAGAGGAGTTTGGAATTTCTAATAGTGAGGGTTCCTTTTCTAGTTTTCTAGGAATAGTCAACAGAAATCTAGGAACAGTCAACAGTAAGTCCTATGGCTAGACCCTAGACTACTAAAGAGGAAAAACTAAACATCAACCAAAAGTGAGGTCAACAAGCTTTCATTTTTACACACATAACCCTTTATCTATATATGAAATGATGAATGTAACTATTAAAAGATGATAATGAGTGCTTTTTTATATATGATGCTTGTAAATATGAAAGGGACAAGAGGTTGTACTTGTGATCTTCAGTTTATAGTTAATCTTTTTAATTGGGCAAGATCCCGTGGTTTTTTCTCTTTAGAGCTTTTCCACATAAAAATTTATAGTGTCACTATTGATTGTTTGTTTTATTCTGAGTATGTATTGAATTCTCGTACAATACTAGGACAACAATTTATTACTCTATCACAATAAATCTTTTAGTACTCATCATATATTATATATATAAATAAATAAGACGAGCTAAATATTATTAATTTTAATCACGTGTGTTTGATTCACTGCAATTATATTAGTATATTTGTTATTATTATTATTAGAGAAAATTACAATATACAAATCTTATGGATTTACATATCTCACAGCTAAATTTTTATTTTTACAATCATAACACTTTATCTATAGACGAAAATATGGATTTGACTACTAAAAGATGATAATAAGTGCTATTTTTCATATAATGCTTGTAAATATGAAAGTTTTGATATAAGATAAATAAATCCACAAGAATTGGGTGTAAATGCCCCTTATTATTATTATTATTATTATTATTATTATTATTATTTCAATTGGATAAACATCAATATAACATAAACAAGGTTGTGGATTGTGAGACACATCACATCGTACCCTAAATTAGAAAATTTAACACATATCTCTCTCACACACACAATATATATAATATAATATTCATAAATTTTTTGCATTAAAATAAATGAAAAAATTTGATACATAGCACAAAATTCTTATGAATTTTCCAATCTCATACTTAAACTTTCATTTTTTCATTCATATTATTTTAACTAGGCCAGAATAAATGTATTTGATTATTAAAGGATGATAATGAGTGTTACTTTTGTAATTATAGAAGTTATGATTGAGAAATGTAAATATTAAAATTTTGGTTGCTTCTTATGCAAAAGATTAATATTTATTTCGAAAAATAATTACAAGGCGTGAAATTTAAAAGTTAAGTGATATGAATATACATATCTATAAATGTATGTAAATTCATATGAATTGTGCGGTAAGTATATAAATGCCGCTTTCATCAATTGGTGAACTCGCCTAGGAACTCCGATTTGCAGCAGGATGAAAAACCCTAAGTCCGCCGCCGGTGGTAGGGGTTCTTCCCACAAGACCTCCGCCGCTAATGCTGTCGGCGGCGCCGATGGCCGGAAGTCCCATTGGGATTCATCGAAAAAACCCCCCTCCGATCGCAATGCCCCTTCAGATTCCACCCCTTTTAAGGAAGACATTCCCGGGCCTTCCTCCGGGCCGATGAAGCACCCCGCGGGAGCCACCCTTCCCGCCGCCAGTCTCCCACCGACGTTCCACCATCATACCTCTGCTTCCTCTCCACCTCCTCCTCCATATGGCTTCCACAACCTCGACCGGCGAACCATCGTTCTCGCCGACGGCACTGTCCGCTCCTACTTCGCCCTTCCTCCTGATTACCAGATGGATCCCCGCGGCGACAAGTTCTTCCATCCCGGTAACCCGCAGGGATTCGATCCACACATCCCCGGGCCTTATGGCCCCGAAGGTTTCCGCGAGCCACCGCCACCGTTTCCCCGTGGAGGCGCTGACTACTGGTCTTCCCTTGGACTTGAGGGACCCGCGGGGTCGTCATCGCTGAAGCGAAAGTACGGGGAAGAAGAATTTGATTGGCGTCGTCAGCAAGCGCCGCAGCGTGGAAGCTCTGCTGTGAATTCGGGTTTTTCTTCAGGGCCGGTTGGTGATGGCTTGGGCAGGACGGGTAGCCCTTCTCGAAAGGAGCATGTCGATGACAGGAGGCTGTCCAAGCAGGTAAAGTTGGGGGGTGAAGGTTATGATGATTTGCCAGCTCGGAAGCCACGCGCCGAAAGTAACGACTCTCTCGTGGCTAGGGATGTGGATCCGAAGGCTTTGAAGGAAGCCTTTCTTAGGTTGTCCAAGAGCATCAGCGAGAATCCAACACATATGAAGAATTATTTAGAGGATGGGAAGAATGGGCCGTTGCAGTGCATTGTTTGCGGCAGGTTTGACACGACCGAAATTCTTACTTATTTCACATGTTTATTGGATGTTGAACTTTTGGATGACACAGAGTTGGATTTTTTTCTATTGCTTGATTGGAATGCATGCTTTATGATTGTTTTGATTAACATCTGTTGTATTCATGGCTATTATGCTTCTCCTTACCATTATTATTATTTGTCATCTTTTAGTTTTACATGTTTTATGATTATTGGTTGTTTTAATGGTTCGGTAATCAGTATTTAGCTAGCTTTTTGTTGGATTTTGCGCTTATTTATTTTAATTTCATTTAATTTTTTCATCAAACAATTGAACAAGTTTAGGATGTTACTTCTATTTAGCTTTTTCATAGTTTTTATTGTGTATTTTGCATGCCTATACTTGCCACACAACTTAGTTTCATATTTACTTTGCATCTTCTGCTGGCTGAAAAAGTTGGCTGACGCATTACTAGTTTATTTTCAATTCAAGCAACTTTTTGAACCCCAAATTAGGGGTGGTTGTTTAACATTGCCTGTTACATTACTTAGCTTTTAAAATTTTGTATTCATATTTCATTGTTTGCGACAATCCACACATCAATGGGAATTTATTTGACAGCAAATATCTCATTTTTACTATTGCTTTTTAATCATCTCTTGTTTGTCTGGTAAATCTTGAGTTACCAGCCTCAATTGGGCAAATGTTAGGTTTCCCTTCCATGTCTGAGGAAGCTTGAACTAAATTTCTGTCTTTTTGTCAATTAATTGGTAATGATAAACTTGGATTTCAATCACGTTAATCACCAAATTGAGTCTCCTTAAGAAGTAAGAATCAAACTGTGACTTTTCTTTAGGCTTGTATTTATTTCTAAGGTGCATCCCATAGCTTCAACAAAAGTAAGATAGAAAATTTAACTTAGGCGCATTTGTTCGTAGGTTTATTCTTTCTTAGGTGCATTATTTTATCTGTATATCATTCGATGGAACAGCTCTTGCTTTTTTTATTTGGTGTCAGTAATTCAGGCTTTCTCCTCACAATGCTTGCCTTATGTTTAATTTGCAAATGAGAGAGAGATAGCTAAGGTTATGCTTTGTAATTTAGGGTATACTATGTGGAAAGTAGGATCGCAGGATGGAGGGCTTGGTTATGGCTTAAGTTCTCTAATGTTTCTGAAGAAATTTAACATTTTTGCTAAAAAAAACTGCATCAAGGACTGCGTTTGACTGCAGAGCTGAGGAAGATATGAGAAAAAGCATGCAATATTGTTTAAGGGACAAACCCCTTGACAGAAACGTAAAGTATCATTGACCGAAGCTGTTTACGAAGCTGGTGGATGAGCCAGAAGAGTGAAGAAGCTTCAATTGTTGTTTGTAAAAAAGGTTCATTTATGAAATTTGGTTTTTATCCAGTTGAAGAAGAGTAAGTTCGAGTACTGGTCTACTTTTGAAACTATAGCAACATCAAATGCATCAACTTTTTGGAAAAATGGCCTTGCAAGCTGGTGATTTGGTGAGTGAAGGTAGGTGAAGGAGTTGATATACCTTGTAGCTTCATTAGTTGTTATTTGTTGAACTCAGACATAGGTTTTAGCCTATTAGCTTTAATTTTCATTTGTTAATATAGACTCTTGATCCTTTAATGTCCGTGCAAAATTTTGAATGGAAGGTTGGAACTTTTGGAAAACCAATTGAAGCAATATGTTATAGGAGTATTTGAGGTCAATTTCTTAGGTTATTTGCATTTGTATCTGGTCACTGATCTAGATCCGTGTTATGATCCATATAAATTTTCTTTATTCTAGTTTGCTGAAACATCTTTTATAGCTGAATTGTTCTTAAGTTGGTAACTTTAGTATTTTCTGCAATTGACTAGCAGATATAGGATATTTTCTACATATGAAGTTCTTCTTAGGAAGGAGTGATGTTTGGTCTGCACCCTTTTTGGACGGTATTTGGTTTTCTTCAAAGCCATGTTGTTTTTCTTAACAAAGTTAACTCCATCGCTTTTATGAAGTTTGCGTAAAGGGATTTTTCCGCTTATTTTTACCAAGATTTTGCCTGTGTATGCTATTAAGCTTGGGCAACTTTTGGCGCCTTGTTCTTTCTTGCCGGTCTTATTCTTTGTGAACAGTCATGTTCTATTTTCTGTTGTGTTAGCTTTGTTGAATTTACATTATTTTGGCTCTTCCTTGAATGATTCTAGGACTGTGCTTTGTTGTGTTGGTGCTCAATGTGGAAGGCCTGTTCCGACATTATATGAATTAAAGTTTGAGATGCCAAGTCCTCTTTCATATTATTAAATGTAATTCATGGCTTGCTATGCATATATATATATATATATATAATATATTATGTAAAACTTTGTGCTCAACACCAATTTTGGCAGCCATCACTTTTTCTTCAAGCTTGCAAATCGTTCATCTTTGTTGAACCTCTTTTTTCTGAAATTTATGAGCTTAGTTACTTTGATAATGATTATTGTTGATTACAATTTGTTCTGGACGTAGTGGTAGTAACCATCTTCTTTAGAACTAGACATAATCTGATGTTTTGGAAATTTATTTGATTATCTCCAATCAGATAGCATCACCTTCTAAATTTCATACCATTTCGTAGGTAACCTTTCACTCATTTATTGTAATGTTTTTGGCGATCATATTGTCAATCATGTAACGTGTTCATTGCTGCAATGATATGACGGCTGGATGCTTGACGTGGTAATAGTTATCTTGCCACTTACCATTGATTTATATTTAATTAATTTATCGATTTCATTTGGTGTAGCCAAGTTTTTTTTTTTGCTGGATTACAAAGAATTCTTGTCATGTGATTGCTTGGCGTTGCATATATTTTCTTTGTCTGCAACGTCATGAAATTTGTAACAGCAGCTAGTGCTTGAGATGGTAATATTTGGGATCATGACTAGTTATTAACTCTGCATGAAAATTACTTCTGATATGTTTTTGCTCAGAATATCTCCTACATTTTAATTTATGTTGTCTAACATTTCAAGCTTTAAAATTTTATTTTAGAATATAATATCCTTAGGGATAAAATCAATCTTTTTTTATTTGCTTTTCGAGGGATATGAAGTTAAGGACATTTGATTACATAACAGGCCATCTATCAAATATGTTGTTATAGTTTGATATGAAGTTGTAATAAAATATGAATCAAATTCTTCCTTCCCTTTCTTTTCTGAAGAATTTTATATTAAAGGTACAAATGGTATATCAGCAGTGAAAAATCTATATTGGTTTTTTTAGCAGTCGTTTACGTTCTATACTGACTTGTATGAGGAAATTTCATCACCTGTCCAATTTCATATTTTTCTTTTTTTTTATTTTTATTTGGATTGCTCGTGTCCTAATCATGAGAATAAGGTCTTATACTTTGTTGTAAATTGGTAGATGCATATACTTTGGCTTGCTGGTGATGGCAATTCTTCTATGTTTTTCTTGTTATTGCTTTCCATGGAAGAGTTTAGTTCTTGCTTTTGATAGTGCACTTGGTTTCCTTTTAGGTGATTTAATGCCTAATTGTAATTTATGCTTTATTTTTGACATAGTTATTTGCTGGTATTCTTGTATTTTTTTTGATATTTTTATACCTACAGCCTATGTTTTGGTTAGGGAAGAGCCTTTTTTTTTTTCTATTATCTAAATTTACTTACATGGAGGAGTAGGCTTGAATTAAAACCAGGAAAATGACTCTGCTCTGCTCTACATTTTCTTAGTCAGCGTATGCCTTTGTATTGTTATCCTCAGCAGCATAAAAAAAAGGCATAACGAGTAGTGTTTGAATTGAATCATAAGATGGAGAGGGAAAAAACAAATACGTTGAAAAGTATTTCGTTATAGGTTCGTATAATTAGAACATTAAATTATGAGGTTCCTGGGTTAAGATTTTTTTTGATCACGAGGAAACTGAATCATAAAAAAATAGAGTGATACATCGTTTGCATAATCAGTAGTTGCTTTTTATTTTATATATGTGTGTTTTTGTGTGTATGAATGCTACTTATCAGCATATGTATGGAGATAATTCTGGCAGCCTATTCTGAAAGTAAACAATTGCAGTATTTTGGCTTTTTTTTAACCTTCTTATGTTGTTAGCCTGTTCAATCAGATGCAGTGCAGCTCAACTGCTCTAGACAACGAAGTTCCATGGGCTTTTATGGATTAACTGTCTTCATTTTATTGGTATACATTCAATGTGTTTGTTGTGAAGTAGGATATCCGAAATCCTCCTATGATTAATTCAGCAATAATTATAAATAAAACTACCGGAAAGATAAAAAATGAAGCAAATAATGCAAGATATATTGGAACAAACAATCCAAAGTCCATTTTATTCAAAATATAAAAGCTTTTCTATGAAGCTATTTTCAGATTTATTTATACACGGATGAGGGACAGGGAGCGGGGGACAAATATTCACACATCCCCTCAAGCTGAACTGTAGATGGCAATCATTTCTATATTGAACTTTAAATATTTAAATTTAGGATGTGACAATGGTATCGTAAATATATTTGCTCTTTGGAGTTTTTAAAGTGTATATATAAGCTTCATGATTCCTTACTCTAGCTTTTCATTGATGAAATGTGGTCAATTTTTACTTGTTTTATTGCCATGAGCATCAATGTTATTTGCAGTGCTTATGGTAGCTTTGTTATCCCAAAATACGATAACACCTTCTTTGATTTATCAATTGAGATTCTTAGCTTCCTATGTAGCTTACTTGCCGGCTTACCTTCATCTATGCCTTGGGATACAGCTTTAAATTTAGCTTCTTTACTTCTTCTTGTTACCACTGGTTTTTTCTTCCCCCATCAAATAATCAATTTCCAGTTCACATGATCACAGTGCTCTTGTTTTTTATTTTTTTCTATTGTTGATTTGACCCAATCATTATCAACAAGTACTCCAGTTTCTTTAGTTGATTCTTGATATATTTTGATTTGACCTAACATACATCAATTATACTTCAATTTCTCTATTTGCGGCTTTTTTGAAGTA